ATGATTATTAATTGGCAATAGGCAAATTAGGGTTCTCACCAATGTATACAGAAGTCCCACCCTTGCTGTAAGTATCTGAACAGACACAGAGACTGGATTCAGTAAAATATAATGTCTCTTTACTGGGAGATATATATCATTCAAACAATACACAACCACACACATTTATAGAACTAAGGAAGCAGAGGTGATTGATAATTTATAGAGGGGTCATACAACCTGCTCCAGATGTGCAGAGGTCCATGGATTGTGGCCTAAACTCAGAGAGTTTAGGGGTGGACTGCCATTTTGGATTATGGCAGAAAACACATGGGCTGAGGCCATGTTTACGCTGGGATATACCCTATGGAAGACAATGCAGACCAATGGCTGGTCCTGGGGGCTGGTCTCAGGTGAGAACAATAGATTTCCTGGACCAATGATGAGTCCCAGGGGTGTGTGGCCTCAGGATGGGCAAGGCCTAGATATGACCAGTGAGCTTCCAGAGAGGCAGGGTCTGGATTTAACAATAGAAGCCAGGTGCTGGGTGGCTAGTTGAATGGATTATCTGACCACTAATGGTCCTGGCCCAGGGTAAACAAAAGGTGGGAAACATCCCTGATTAGCGTCAGGAAGGATCGTTAATAATTTGAATGTTTGATTGGTTTATCCCGGTATCTTGAGGGACAGAGTAGAAAAGACAAGTATTCAGAGAATTAAATAGACTTTAGAAATGTAGATACTTTACCTGCTAGAACTCATTGTCATTCCATAAGCATAATCTCTGCTGGGTGGAGGGGGAAGACTGGAGGCTTGCTCTGAGGTTGCCTGTCACCTGAAAATGGAGACCTCTTTTTCAGAGCTGTGGCTAGCTCTGTGTCTCAGAACCAGGAGTGCCTGCCTTGGCCTGAATTTTGTGGGTCTCTGGATCAGGTTAGAAGTGGGGTGCCCCTGCTATTGGGGCTACCCAAGAGTAAAAGGCAGCGCCTCTGGCAACAGAGGTCTCATTTATGTCAGATCCAGCCCTCATAACAAATGAGTTCGACACCCCTGCCATAGATGAATGTTTCCAACATGCGCATAAAAACACTGCTCTATCGATGAGGGGAAACTGAAGAGTTGGTGGTGAGCACTGCTCCAGAACAAGCTTCCATGGGTGGCAGACCCAAACCCTAAATAGGTTCTGCAGGAGGCGGAGCCAAATGTAATACTTTGCCGGTCACGCCTCCTGGGAGGAAGGAAAGCCGAAAGGGGAGATGGAACCACGCACTGGCCGAGGGGATCCCACGTTTTTACCAGTCCTTCTGATCTCCAGTGGAAAACCCTTTCATTTGAATGAGTAACAAGCCAGTAATAAGCCCTGCTCCCTTCTTGCGGGTAAACTCAAGACATTGGGAGTTCCAATTTCCTCACCTACTGAAGAGGTAATGCCCTCTCAGCTCGAGGAAACCTTGAAGAAACTCAAACAGTTGGATTGGGCCAGCACCGTGGCCAGGGCCAGATGCACCTGTTCTCCTTTGGCTCTGGGGTTGCCCCCTCCAGAGAGATTTCCTGACTTTCATTCATTGCTACCAATTCCATCCCACCGCCTTTATGCTGGCCCGCTTAAATGCATTTCCAACGATGGTAACGCTGGGCAGATTTGGAGGCTTACCTTACTCAGATCGCCTCTGTCTGTGCAATTCTGGCGAAATTGAAACTTTAGACCATCTGATGTTTCGCTGTCCCCATTGGACTCAAGATAGAGGGACATATATCATTCCTATTCTTACGAAGATGAATCTTCCCTCGCAACCTTGGGTGCTCTCAGTATTGTTATCTGATTCAAATGCCGATGGACTGATAACAGCTAACGTGGCGCGGTTCCTGGCTAAGGTTGCTGCTCTCAAGAAACACTGAAAGCTTTATCATCTTTGCAAACACCTACACCAACTTTCAATCTTCGGAGGATTTTTGTTAGTTGGCTCCGCCCCAAGTGTAGTTAGGTCTTTTTATTCTCTGGGCTATGCCTGGGTTTTATATGTTTACTGATTGTGACTATGTACTTTGTCATATTTTATGTCAATTTTATGTACCTATTTTATCCCTTTTGCATTCTCTTTTTGGTCAAGACTTCGGTCATATAGACCTGTAATAAATTGAATTGAATAAACCCTGCCCTTCAATGGCCCCGCCTACTTTCTGAACAGCTTGGTGGGTGCCAAGGGAAGTATTGGCATGTGCTATGTTGGGGAACCCCGAATTAGCCAATAGGCGATGCACCTTTAAACATACTAGTTTGGTTCATTTGTTGGCATCAGTAAGGTTTTGGCCAGTGCGCTGAACATTCCTCTTGGTTTCTCAGTGTCTTACAAGGTGACTTAAAACTGCGAACACTCGCTGCTTGCAGTCATTTTGTGTAAATTAATAGTTAACAGTATGTTGGTGAAAAAGACTAAGTAGGTATAGATTTGACAATGAAAAACAGATCTTTATAAGAACAACTATGACAAATTGTGGCCTAAAATACAGCAGGATATCAAAAAATGGAATACTTTGAATTTGTCATTGATGGGCAGAATTTCAGTGGTCAAAATGAACATTTTACCTCGGTTGATGTTTTTATTCTAGACAATTCCAATAGTAAGAGACTTGAAGGTATTCAATATGTGGCAAAGAGAAATTTCAAAGTTTGTTTGGGCCGGGAGAAAACCACGGATTAAAATGAAGATATTATGTGATGCGAAAGAAAGAGGTGGATTCCAGTTAACAAACTTTAGACTATACCATGATGCGGTTGGCCAACCTGGCTGCAACAGTGGACTACGTTAGACAACAAGAAACGTTTGGCGTTAGAAGGACATGATTGTAAATTTGGTTGGCATGCCTATTTATGGTACGATAAAGTGAAAATGGACGGTTTTTAAAAACATCATTATATTAGAAGAAATTTGTTTGATATTTGGATTAAGTACAGAAGATTTTTCTCGGATGAGAGACCTCTTTGGATAGTACCGACAGAAGTTATAATAGTTAACAGTATGTAATGTTGTTTTGCATCTATGTCGTTTTAAGGTTGTGGGCTTCTCATGTCATGTGACCCTTGAAAGTTTCCTTTTCTTGGCAGGCCAAGCCCCAAACCAAACCACGATTATGAAAGATTGAAGGTACAGTGTATGAAGGCCATGTCGGACCTGCAGTCTCTCCAGAACCAGCACACCAAGACACTAAAAAGATGTGAAGAGGCTGCCAAGGAGGCTGATTTTTATCAGTAAGTAAATGCGCCAGACACCAATGCAATTTGAAGGGTGTTTTTTTTTTAATCATATGACAGTGTTCAGTATAGCCGAGAGATCCGAATATTGTCTAGCAGGCAGAAGTTCTAGCTCTTTTTTTAGCATTATGCATGACTAGGTGACAAGCTAGACTTGGTTTTTGAGGCAAGAGATGTTTCAGTGGTGGCTTGCCCTTGCCTGCCTCTGCGTCACAACCCTGATAATCCTTGGAGGTCACTCATCTGAATACTAGCCAGAACCCGACCCTGCTTAGCTTCTGAGATCTGATGATATCGGGCTATCCTGGGCTATCCAGGTCAGGACTCTCCTTTTTGGTTCTCCCTCAGCCTCTAAACCGCATCTGGTGGGTGTCCGTGTATCTTGACAGCCGGAGAGGCTGTCACATATCACCCGCTCTCCTCTCCTGTCCTTGTCATCAATGGACACTTTTGTTGTTGTTGTTGCTGTTCAGTCGCACAGTCGAGTCGGACTCTTCGCGACCCCATGGACCAGATCACGCCAGGCCTTCCGGTCTTCCGCCGTCCTCTGAAGTTGGCTCAACTTCATGTTCATTGCATCTATGACACTGTCTAACCATCTCATCCTTTGCCGTCCCCGTCTTCTTTGACCTTCAATCTTTCCCAGCATCAGGGTCTTCTTCTCCAGTGGGTGCTCCCTTCTCATTTGGTGACCAGAGTATTTGAGCTTCAGTTTCATTATCTGGCCTTCCAGGGAACTGCCAGGGTTGATTTCTTTTCGGATTGACTGATTTGATCTCCTTGCAGTCCAAGGAACTCTCGAGAGTCTTCTCCAGCACCACAGTTCAAAAGAATCTATTCTTCGGCGCTCGACCTTCCTTATAGTCCAACTCTTGCAGCCATACATGACTACTAGGAATACCATTGCTGTGACCATGCAGACTTTTGTTGGCAGGGTCATGCCTCTACTTTTTCTCATGCTGTTTAGGTTCGCCATCGCTTTCCTCCCAAGGAGCAGGCATCTTTTAAGTTCATGGCTGCTGTCACAGTTTGCGGTGATCTGGGATCCCCGGAACGTGAAGTTCCTTTTATAACATCACAATTCGAAATATTGGTCGAGGGTCAGTGTTAAGAGCTTTTGGGAAGCAGATTAAGGATTAGAGGTTTAATCTTTGCGGATAGAGAATCGGCATCTGAAGAAAAGGGGGATCGGGAGAGACAGCACCCGCTCAGTTTGAACAGAGGCTGACTGGTAACTCTTTTGTGGTTTTCTTCTGCCTGAACAGGAAGGATGCAATTGCCCCCCCCCCAATAACTTTCAGACCAATTCCTCTGTGTAAAGTACATTTGCTGTTTATGATTCTGGTTGCAAAAACAGTAAAGACAGTAAGTGTATAAGTGTAACATAAACTTAATCATTAAATGGATTAATTTGTTAAACATGTTAATATGTAGAATAGTTAAACTAGTAAAGTGTTCAAATGTTAAGCTGTTACACTTATGAATTAGTGTTGTTTAGAATTGGTAGATTTGGACTTTAGCGTAGGTTATATTGTTAGAGGGTTGAATTATTAGAACATGTATATGTGTTTGTAATTTGGAAGATATATGTAATTTATAACAAATTGTAGATATGTTGAAAGGTTTTTTAAATAAAAATCTATCCCCCCCCCAAAAAAAAATCTATTTTCCTATAACTTTCAGAAGCCTGGGTTAGTCTAGGTTGGAGGCCTTTGAAGCACATGACAGCATTAATGAGGATTTTCCTAAGAGCAATTAGGTGTCAAAGAAAACATCACTTTCCTTTATTGCTTTCCAGTTCTGATGTACAGTTCAAAATCTGTAGCCCACCTTCGGCAGAGTTCACTTGGAAGCCTTCTGTGGATTAACGTATGTTCAGGCAACAAACAAAAACAAAAAACTATGTGGGGAATTTACTTCAGTAATAATTTCCGTACAGAGGGATGATGCAGCATGCTGACTGCGCACCAAAATCCAGTCTTGTAATTTTCAGTGACCCGAGATGAGTAGCCACTCTTTCTCTCCAAGGGAAGCACTGACGTTGCCTATTAAGTGGCGAGAGACCAGCTCCGCACCAACCTTTTAAAGGTTTTTATTTAACCATTTAATAGACTCATCTGTCTCATAGTCTGCGTAAGAACTCTAAGCAAACTTACAGCATGAAACTGTGTTAGAATAGGAATTCACATCAGTAATTTAAGAGAATAAAACTCAATGAAAACCAATAATCCAGAAAAGACCAGTGGTGAGAGCCAGTGCTTTCTTTAAGCCATGGAGGCTTGTGAACAAAAACCCTGCTTCGTGAGCTACTGGCATTAAACTTGTGAGCGAGCAATTTGGCTTCTGCATAAATTAGTTTGCTCTGGAGCCGTCCTTCCTGAGCTAAGGCAAAAATGTGTGAGCCGGAGGCTAAAAAACTGTGAGCTATCTCACACTAACTCAGTTTAGAGCAGGGGTGTCAAACATGCGGCCCGGGGGCCAGATGAGGCCCCTGGAGGGCTTCCATCAGGCCCGCAGTGGAACTGGCCATCTCCTGCTTCCAGTTCTGCTGCTGCATCATAGCTTGCTTCGCCAGACTCTCTTAATCACTCAGCCATTTCATGTTTTAACCTGGGTCCTAGACTCAGAACTCTGAGCATGAGATTACTGTGGTGAATGTCAATAAATCAAAAGTAGGTTTGCAGCTTACAGAGCTAATGTTTTAAGCATGTTTTTATTTTAAGTTAAAGACAGCCCCCTTGTGCTTGTGTCCTTTATAAAGTTTATATCTCCACTACCTGGCTTTACATTTTATGAGACACGTGGCCTGGCCCAACAAGGTCTCATTTATGTCAGATCCGGCCCTCATAACAAATGAGTTCGACACCCCTGGTTTAGAGGGAACACTAGTGAGAGCCTCCACCAAAAAGACCCTGCTCCTTGCCTTAACAGGTCTAACTTGTAGAGAACACAGAAGAGGGAGTCATTCCTTAGATTTAAAGAACATGGAGGCTCACGTGTAGCTTGCCAAGACTATGCTGAATTTAATGCCAGGTGGCTTGCTGCACCAGTAGTTAGAGGGGGAAAAGCCTTGCTATCCGGGGCCACATATCTTTCAGCGAGGGAGTGGATAATTGCTCTTGTGGATGCTGTCTGTTCCAGTTACCTTTTCCCACCAGGCTGAAATTCAAAGATGGCTAGTTATCACTGCCATTTTCCCTGATTGTCAGGTTCAATAGAGCAGTTGCAGTCCACATAAGAATAGATTGCTTTATTATAAGTCACTATTGATACACTTTCATGGTCATTGTCAGGAATGAAACTGAAAGCCAAGCAGGTACAGCTATAGACAGTTCAAATAAAAAGGGTTAGCCAATGAATACAGTTTGCGCTCAGCAAGAATTCGAGTGGGAGAAAACCAAGGCGGGAGATAGCCTTCAGTCGTTTGGTTCACATCAGCCAGATTGGGAACGGCACCATCAACAGTTCTCACAGTCTTATCTACTACAAAGGCAGCAAAACATTCCAAGGTCGCGACCCCATGGACCAGATCACGCCAGGCCTTCTTGTCTTCCGCCATCCTCTGAAGTTTGCTCAATTTCATGTTCGTTGCGTCTATGACACTGTCTAACCACTCATCCTTTGCTGTCCTCGTCTTCTTTGACCTTCAATTTTTCCCAGAGTCAGGAACGTGAACTCTGTCACTGCTTCCATGACTTCCCCTTCTGTTTGCCAAGGAGTTATGGTTTTTAATCTGGTTTAATGTATCTCACATCCGTTTAAATGTTTATATTGTCCAATTTTTCAGTGGTGATCGTAATGCGGTCCTTATACACCTGGGGTTCTGAAAGGCTTGGGAGAAAGGCAGGGTGTATCTGAATTTTAAACAGACGTTTATTGGAATGTAACCATGAAATAGTTTTTGCCTGTGATTTATTTTCACTGTAAATCCTCAGTCTTTATTTTTTTTTTTTGTATTTTCTGTATTTTTCCACATGTGCATGTGTGTGCACCTGAAAGTCATGGTGACTTATGGTGAGTGACTGACCCCTACTGGGGGCCTGGAGGATATTCACAGAGGTGGCTGAATAGAGCCTGTCCCCACCTCTCAACTGCTGGTATTCCTTAGAGGTCTCCCATCCAAGTATTTGCCAGAGTCGACCCTGCTTCTCTTCCGAGATCTGACACGATCGGGCCGGCCTGGCCTGGCCTATCCAGGGCAGGGCACAAATCCTCAGCCTTTAAATGTGTTTTAACAAAAGCTTTCTGTGAATGTTTTTAATCTTGTTTTTTAAAGAGCGTTTATTAGCCACCTCCCTCCCTCAAGGAGCTCGAAGCTGCTTAAAACATGGATAAAATGCGTAAAATAAAATACCTAAAGAACACAAAACCCAAAATTTAAAATCACAATTCAAGGACTGCCAAGAAACTTAACAGAGCTCAGTCCTAAACAAAACAGTCGTCCGCTGCCTCTTAAAGATGGAAAGTGAGCAGGCCAGGCGCACCTCCCTGGTTAGGTTGTTCTGTCATTGTGGGGCCACCACTGAAAAGACCCTCTGTTGTGTACCCAGCAAGTAAGCATCTTTGATTGATGGGGCAGTCGGGGGGGGGGGGGTTTTCCTGTTGATCTTAATTCCCGCACAGGAACGTCTGGGAGAAGACAATCTTCAGACAACTCCGCTCTTTAGCCATTCAGGGCTTTAAATGTGAAAACCCACACCCTGCATTGGGTTCAAGAGTGGTTCGGTTGCCAGTGTTATTACTATGATACTGGGGTCACACGCAATGCACCCTCTAAGCTGTGGAGTCATGTGAGCAAAAACCCTGCTTTGCGAGCGACCGGCATTAAAGTTGTGAGCGAGCAACTTGGCTGCTGCGTAAGTTAGTTTGCTCTGGGACCATCTTTCCTGAGCTGAGGCAAAAAATGGGAGAGCCGGGGGCTAAAGAACGGTGAGCTGGCTCACACCAACTCGGCTTAGGGGGGAGCACTGGACGGTCCCAATAGCTCGCCATGACCAGGTAGGGTTGCAGCACCTTGACCGCTGCCTTACCATTGCAGCACCTTACACAGCCGCCTGCTAAGTGACCAGTCCCAGCTGAAGGAGGACATGGACACCTTGAAGCGCAAGAACGGCCAGTTGGTACGAGAACACAACCACCTCCAGCAGTCGTGCGAGGAAATGAAGAGACTGCACGACGAGGATCAGAAAGAGATCACCGATCTGCGCAGTCAGCAACAGCAGGTATTGGTGTCACCTTTGTCTGCGTGTATGTGTGTATGGGGGGCGGGGGGAGTTGTTAATTGTGGATGCATTTGTTCATTGGTTCCTTTTTTTCCTTTTTTTTTTTTTTTGCAAGACCTTGAATGCCATACCAAGGTATCGCTTCACTGCTTTCCCCTTTACTACATTTAGTTATTACTTTCAGTAGGTAGCAGAAAATGGGACCACGAACAGCCAAGTATGTTCACAGCCTGGGGAGTCCCTATGAGATAATGACTCAGCCCTACCTCACCTTCCTGAGTAGATATAAAAAATACCTGCCTACCATTTTTCTTCTCACCTTGACACAGAGAGTACGCCATCTTTCTGTGTTAGACCTCTGAGGATGCCAGTCACAGCTACTGAGCCAGTTTGGTGTAGTGGTTAACTGCGCGGACTCTAATCTGGGAGAACCGGGTTTGATTCCCCACTCCTCCATTCGCAGCTGCTGGATGACCTTGGGCAAGCTGTAGTTCTGATAAGAGCTGTTCTTGAAAAAGAGCCGTTTCTCTCCTCCCTCCTCCCTCCTCCCTGCTCCTCCTCCTCCTCCTCCTCCTCCTCCTCCTCCTCCTTCTTCTCCTCCTCCTTCTCCTTCTCCTTCTCCTTCTCCTCCTTCTCCTTCTCCTTCTCCTACTACTACTTCTACTTCTACTTCTACTTCTTCTTCTTCTTCTACTGGTGAAACGTCAGGTCCTACAATGCCAAGACCACAGCCAGACAACCCGGAAAATCTACAACAGCCAAGAATTTGCTTCCAAGTTTGTTTTTTTTAAAAAAATGTAGCTCTGGTTGTGTAAATTAAAACAAGTGGTTAATTTCTCCCAGTATTACTCCTGGTAATCACTGGCTCCTTAATTAGCGCTTCAGCTTCTCTTTATCTCGCCCGGCTTCCGCTATAAAAAATTAAAACTGGTTTGATTGCCTGCAGCCCTGTGAATTCACAGACCTGAAACATCTTTGACAAGATGTTAGTTACTGGGAATAAAGACGGTTGATGGTTGTGAGCTGTACGCAAAAGAGCCTGAAACGGATCCTTTGTGTTCGTGCATTTTCTAAGGCAGGTTTGGGTACTTTGGCTCCCCGAAGACATTTTCTCTCTCTCCGTCTCTCCCCAACCAGCCTCGAGGTGCCTGGGAGGATAAATTACTTTCAAGTTCCTTGCACCCAGGAATGCTACAATTCCCCCCACCACAACTTCATCTCTTTCCTGTGGAAGTTCCATCCGCCAAATGCTAGGCAGCCATGTCTTTAGCACATGTGGCTATGGCTTCACAAGTCCTATAGTCTAAAGCAGGGGTATCAAACATAAGGCCCGAGGGCCGGAACTGGCCCATCCAGGGCTCTTATGCGGCTCGCGAGCAACTAGTGCAAGGGAGGGAACAGGAGGCTGCTCGGGGGGGAGGGAACCACTCCGATTGTGGCTTCAGCACAGTGGAACAACCTTGTCTGCAGGAGTCAAGCAGTGTGGGAGCGTCTCCCTAGTGCTGCACCCCTGGCTCCCCAGTCTGGCCATACGGGTTTTCCTTTGCACCCCCCCTCCCAGCCCATGGGGCCTTGCAGTGAGGATACAACAACTTGGAGCTTACCAGCTGCTGTCCTTTATATAGAAGAAGATGAAGAGGAGTAGAAGAGATTGGATTTATACCCCGCCCTTCACTTGGAGTCTCAGAGCGGCTTACAAACTCCTTTTCCCTTCCCCTCCCCACAACAGACACCCTGTGAGGTGGGTGGGGCTGAGAGAACTCTGACACAAACTGCTCTCTTTCAAGGACAGCTGTGCCAGAGTTTGTGACTGACCCAAGGTCACATCAGCAGGTGCAAGTGGAAGAGTGGGGAATCAAACCCGGTTCTCCCAGATTAGAGTCCGCGCACTTAACCACTTGTCAGACCCCACAGCAGGCAATGAAGTACACACTTGCAGGAAGGTTTTACTTTATTGAAACCATGAAGCACTTGGAACAGATTCTCTGTTCAGAATAACGAGTTGAGCATTTGACAGATAGGTTAAAGCAAGTTCATAATTACAGTAGCCAATAGGTATGATTCCTGCTCCCGCCTAGAAGGCGCCCAGCGTGCCCAAACCCTGAGAAGCAACGGTTCCCTACAGTTAAACAATTAGACTATTCCCACACTACATATTCATTACAGACTAAGCAAAAGCCTCTTGCTGCACACCACCTGTGGCCTTGGGTTGATAACGCACCATCAAAGCAAAGCTAGCGTACATGGGAAGGAATGCAGTGGAGGAGATGAGCGCATGGGGGTGAGGGTGGACATGCGCATCAGAGTATTCTACCGTTACCATGGCAATAGAGGTTGTTGACAAGCGAGGGGGGGGAAGGGATGCAGACAGGCCCAATACATACATTAAAGACACATTGGCAGCTTGCTGACACCACTACACCAAACTGGCTCTCCGTTACTGTCTCCGTTACCACTAAACGACTGGATCTCGTGTCTGTGCTGACATGGGAGCTCCTCCTCCTCCTCCTCCTCCTTCCAGTAGGCACCATATCTCCCTTTGACTCTCAGAAGCTCATACCCTGAAAAGCTTGTAGGTGTCTAAGGTGCCACTGGACTCGTGTCTGGATATATTAAGATTCTGTTTCATATTGAACTTTGCAGGGACCAGAACGTTCCTTGCTTCTTAGAGGCAGAATTCTGACTCGTGTCTAAGTTAAAGGCATGTTAACAATGTTCTGTTTCTTTCAGCAGAACAGTTGTAATAGAGGGTTAACAGTATCTTTCTTTGCTCCATTAATGTACAAGCTGAAGTCTTGGAAAAAGAAGGGACATTTCTTCCCATGTCTATAACAGTAATGCTCTTTTGAGCACTGAGACGTCTTCAAAGTGCTGCATGTTGTGTTACGGGAGAAGAGTGGGGTCAGGTCAGGTAATCGGGTTGCGTACAGGTAAGGGGTTCACGTCAGGTAGACAGCTGCAAATAGCATTGAATCCATTATTTACTTACCAAAGGGAGACCTGGAACAGTCCAGGAAGAGGTAACCGGATTAAACGATACAACAGCGCAGCGGGCGGATTCCTGTAATGAATGTTAGGTGGCAGAATCGGATCCCGCGCAGATAAAAGGAGAGATTCTGCGCGGGAATTTATTCATTTGTTTTATTTATTTAAAACTTTTTTAATGCTGCCTTTTCACCCAGTCAGGGTACCCAGGGTGGGACACACAAAAATATCAAAGCATTTTAACAGTTAAAAACAACATTTAAAATGTTAAGACAAATAAAAATGCATAAACCATACCAGAACCAAAGAGCCTATAACAGTTATTTTTTAGGGGGCGGGGATGCCCAACGAAACGAAAAACTCTTCACCCGCTGGCAGAAGGCAACAATAGAGGGAGAGGGGCCGATCTCCCCGGGGGAGGGAGTTCCAAGGCTTTGGTTCCATGACCGAGAAGGCCTTGTGTAGCCCCTGACAGTGGGGGCAACCAAACCAGGTCCTCTGAATTTCACTGGAGCCAACAGGTAGCTTCATCCGGGAGGACGTGGTCTTTGAGGTGTATTGGTTTCAGCCCACACAGGGCTTTAAAGGTCAATACCATCACTTTGCATTGAGCCCGGAATGGAGGGAACGAGACAGCCACGAGCTGGACTTGGCATTGATGCCGGCTCACCATGACATCTGCGTGCAGCCAGTAGGCAAGAATCTTTGTTTAAGGTTGAGGAGCATGCTGTCACGCAAGCCCTGCGGTGCAGGCTGAAGCAGCACAGCCCGTCCTCTGTTTTTACCCCCTTGGCTACTGCTTGGGAGGCCGAGGCCTCTGAGGGTCTCACGTGAGTTGCTTAAATTGAATCTGAATAGAGAAATCAGTGGATCCGAGGGCCACAATCTGTCGCTCCGTTTCAGTGCTTAGCAGAAGGGATGAATAATCTTAACCTTTGGGCCTGTGCACATTCCCCCTCCCCTGGCCACCCAGTTTCCTCTCGCTGTGCTCAGGCGAACGAAAGAGCTGCGGTCCCTCTCCTCGTACGTCAGAGTGAATCATGTTGTTTTCCTCTATGCCTTGGTCACTTCTCATCCAGATTAGTCCGCAGGGTGGGAGAGCGAGAGGCGACGGCGACTTTTGTTAGGCAGGCTTCGGAGGTCACACGGACTGTTCCAAAAGCACAGCCACTGACTGCTTAGAAGGATGGAAAGTTTGGCTCGAATGATTTCCACCGACAGAGGTGTCCATTGATTTTGCCTTGGGTTCCTGTCTTCTTCATGTCAGGGCTTTGAATGAAGGGACTCCTGTTGGTCTGAAGCAGTAGAACAAAGTTTGAATCCATCGGCACCTTTCAAACGAATAAAGTTTAATTCTGGGTATAAGCTTTCGTGTTCATGCACCTAGTCTTAAAGGTGCCACTGGACTCAAACTTTGTTTTATTATTTTAACTGTATTTTACATCGCTTAGAAGTTTAGTGTCGTGGTTAAGTGCGCGGACTCTGATCTGGGAGGACCGTGTTCGATTCCCCACTCCTCCTCCACTCGCACCTGGCTGGATGACCTTGGGCAAGCCGTAGCTCTGATAAGAGCTGTTCTTGAAAAAGAGCCGTTTCTGTCAAGAGCTCTCTCAGCCCCACCGACCTCACAGGGTGTCTGTTGTGGGGAGCGGAAGGGAAAGGAGGTTGTAAGCTGCTCTGAGACACTTTTGAGTAGTGAAGGGCGGGGTATGAATCCAATCTCTTCCTCCTCTTCTTCTTCTTAACGTTTTATGTTCATCATCTTGTGGACCCTGACTGGGTGGAAAGGCGGCGTAAAAATGTTTTGAATAGATAAGTAAAATAAATGCAATTAAATAAATACCTTTATGTTGTTGTTCAGTCGCACAGTCGAGTCCGACTCTTTGCGACCCCATGGACCAGCTCCCTCCAGGCCTTCCGGTCTTCCGCCATCCTCTGAAGTTTGCTCAACTTCATGTTCGTTGCATCGATGACACTGTCTAACCATCTCATCCTTTGCCGTCCCCGTCTTCTTTGACCTTCAATCTTTCCCAGCATCAGGGTCTTCTCCAGGGAGTGCTCCCTTCTCATTTGGTGGCCAAAGTATTTGAGCTTCAGTTTCATTATCTGGCCTTCCAGGGAACAGTCAGGGTTGATTTCTTTGAGGATTGACTGATTTGATCTCCTTGCAGTCCAAGGGACTCTCAAGAGTCTCCTCCAGCACCATAGTTCAAAAGAATCTATTCTTCGGCGCTCGGCCTTCCTTATAGTCCAACTCTCACAGCCATACATGACTACTGGGAATACCATTGCTTTGACCATGCGGACTTTTGTTGGCAGGGTGATGTCTCTACTTTTTATCATGCTGTTTAGGTTCGCCATCGCTTTCCTCCCAAGGAGCAGGCGTCTTTTAATTTCATGACTGCTGTCACAGTCTGCGGTGATCTGGGATCCCAGGAACGTGAAGTCTGTCACTACTTCCACAGCTTCCCCTTCTATTTGCCAAGGAGTGATGGGGCCGGATGCCATGATCTTAGTTTTTTTGATGTTGAGCTTCAAGCCCACTTTTGCGCTCTCCTCTTTTACCCTGAGCAAGAGGCTCTTTAGGTCCTCTTCACTTTCTGCCATTAGAGTGGTATCGTCTGCATATCTGAGGTTGTTGATCTTTTCCCCAGCAATCTTAATTCCCGCTTGTGATTCATCCAGGCCAGCATTTCGCATGATGTACTCTGCATATATATTAAATAAGCAAGGTGACAATATACATCCTTGTCGTACTCCTTTTCCTATGCTGAACCAATCAGTTGTTCCATATCCGGTTCTAACTGTCGATGCCCTGTTGTTGGCCCTCCAGAGGAAGTGGTTGGCCACTGTGTGAGACAATATGCTGGACTAGATAGACCACTGGTCTGATCCAGCAGGGTGGTTCTTATGTTCTTATCAAGGGAAGGCCTTGGCCTCTATGCCCTGTTGTTGGACCTCCAGAAGAACTTGTTGGCCACTGTGTGAGACAGGATGCTAGACTAGATGGACCATTGGTCTGATCCAGCAGGGCTCTTCTTATATTCTTATGTTCTTATTTAGTACAGTGCAACTCTATTGCCTGTGTAGAAAAGCCCCCTTTTAAATTGTATTTTGTCTGAAACATTCAGAAGGGGGGCAGTACTGCTGTCCCTTAATTTGTAGTCATTCAGGAAGTAAAGTATCCAAGATTAATAATGTGTGTAATTCCTGTACAAGAGTATTCCGTTAGGCACTCCTTCTGGGGCATAGTGGACGGGGTGCATGTCTCTGGTATGCCCCCAACCACGATCTGAAGGTAGATTAGTGGTAGATGATATGCTTTGTGTGTGCAAAGCCTGTAAATCCACTAAAACAAGGAGTCCTGGATACAATCAAGTGTTTTTGTGGGGAAGGAAAAGGTGATAGTCCTTACAAGTTGTGGAAGAGACTGGACAAGAAGAAGTGAAGGCTGAAGGACTCTGAATTGTGCCTTTGAAAAATTTTGAATTGAGATGCTTTGGGGTATTTCCTGATATCAGTTAAATTTAAGATGTGGGAAAAGTTAACAGACTACGTGTCTCAGTTTGTAATGAGATTAATATGATTAAGACTAGATGTGTATTCAAGCTGATTAGAAGATCTCCTCTCTTGGGTTTTTAGTCAGTAGCGGGTATCTTTTCTTTATCCCCCTAATTGTAGTCCCCTCCCTTATTTCTGTTATAGTTTGTAGTTTTAATAAAAATGCAATAAAAAATTCCCCATTGGGGAGTAAAAAAAAAAGAAAAGAAAAGGTGATAGGGCTGTCCTGCTGGTTTGTATTTTATTTTTAATTGCCTCGTTGGAACTTTGTGCATATGTGATGGGACTGTAATGGGGAGTTCCGTGGTTGGTGTGCCACCTTGTGGTGGATTTTAAATTTCAAGTCCAACTGCATGGCTGCATTTAAAAGGGATTCCGTGTTCATTTGTTTGGATTTAAAAACAGCGCCTTTCTGTTATCAAAGTCTCGGGTCAGACAAGCGCCTCTTTCGAAGACAATTCTTGCAAACAGCAGAGGAGGTGGTAAAACGGTTACCTAGACTTCTGCCACAACTTCCACCGTGGCAAAGTGCATTTGTAATGCATTGCTCCCCCGTGGAAACATATTCCCTTCACGTAGATGATCTCCCTGTTTGTGGCGTCAACCCTTGTCCGGGAAAGCTGTTTTTTTAATTGATGTGACTGCTGCTTCCTGTAATCTGAAGTGGGTGTGAGCTAGCTCACACTAACTCAGCTTAGAGGGAACACTGCTTCTGCCGCAACTTCCACCGTGGCAAAGGGCATTTGTAATGCATTGCTCGCCCATGGAAACATATTCCCTTCACGTAGAAGATCTCCCTGTTTGTGGCGTCAACCCTTGTCCGGGAAAGCTGTTTTTTTAAATGGATGTGACTGCTGCTTCCTGTAATCTGAAGTGGGCGTTTCCCAGGTATAGATTTACCACCTCACCTGTTGTTTGCGTGAACCCAAGGCTTCGCCTGAATGCTGGCCAGGTGAGGACAAATGTTGGGTCCAGAGGATCAGAACTGAGGCACACCTCCTCTCCACCAGGCCGGGAAGAGGCTGTTCCTGCACACGGAAGGTCACTGTGTGAACTTTCCTATTAAAAAAAACACCCCGGTTTTAATAATCGTCTTTGTTTAATGGAGCACCCATCTTTTTTGTTTTCTCTTATTCTTATTCTATAGCATGATTTACAAAAAGAATAAACAGCTTTAAAATGGGATTAGACAGATTCATGGAGGGTAGGTCTATCAATGGCTACTAGACTTGGTGACTCAAGGGAACCTCCATGTTCAGAGGCAGTCAAATGCTGAATCCCAGAGCCAGGAGGCAACATCAGGGGATCACTGGAAACAATGGTGTGATGAGGCACCCCCCGCGTGGGCACTCCATGAAACTGCAGAGCGGTCGGGTTAGAATGGATAAAAGGAAGTACTTCTTCACCCAAAGAGTGATTAACACTTGGAATTCACTGCCACAGGAAGTGGTGGGTGCTACAAGCATGGATGGCTTCAAAAGGGAATTAGATAAGCATATGGAGCAGAGGTCCATCAGTGGCTATTAGCCACAAGGTATAGCTAGGGGCTCTGGGGCAAGTGATGCTCTGTCTTCTTGGTGCTTGGGGGGGGGTCAACAGTGGGAGGGCTTCTAATGTCCTGGCCCCACTGCTGGACCTCCTGATGGCACTGGTATTTCTGGCCACTGTGTGACACAGAGTGTTGGACTGGATGGGCCTTTGGCCTGATCCAACATTGGCGTCTCTTATGTTCTTATGTACCTACCGGATTTTGAGTTTTTCCCCGTTGTTGTCCCCCGCCCCCTGTTTTTTAAATAAATCCATTTAAAAACATGCCTACCCCTTAGCTATTTGGAGCACCAAGCCTTGAGCATGGCATTTGGAGGAGCCCAGCTGGGGGAAAGCCCAAGTCTTCCTTTTTTTTTTTGAGGGGGTGGCTACATGGCCAGTGGAAGGACCCCCTGACCACGAGAAAGTGGCATGGGAGGAGCTTGCTTTATTTTTATTTTATTTATTTTTCCAATTTATGCCCCGCCCTCCCCGCCGAGGCAGGCCCAGTGCGGCTTACGTAAAAGTAAATACGGTAAAATCACCCTAAGAACATCGAAGAACAGTTCGTTATAAAACAGGGCAGTGTCATAAAGTGCTAGAAGTGTTGTTTTCACTCCATAGCGATGGCGTTATCCTAAGAGTGCATTCAATAGATTGTCTAGATGTCCAGCGCGCCGACCTTCCCCAGATATAATCGGCAGGCACAGGCTGTCCAGTCGCTTGTGTGGGACTCTGGGAAGGGCAGAGGTGCAAAAAGGGAGGGACAGAAGCAGGGAAGGAGGTTGCAAGAAGGGAGGGGGAGCCAGAGGTCAAGAGGAGAAGCAGGAGGGGAGGAGCTGGAGGAAGAGGGATGGAGCAGCAGAAAAGCAGACAGAGCTGGGAGGAGGAGGAGATTGGATTTCTACCCCATGGCCCTTCACTACCCAGAGGAGTCTCAGAGCGGCTTACAAACTCCTCTCCCTTCCCCTCCCCACAACGGACACCCTGTGAGGTGGGTGGGGCTGAGAGAGCTCTGACAGAAACTGCTCTTTTTCAAGGACAGCTCTGAGAGAACTTGTGACTGACCCTGGGTCACACCAGCAGCTGCGAGTGGAGGAGTGGGGAATCAAACCCGGTTCTCCCAGATTAGAGTCCGCGCACTTAACCACGACACCAAACTGGTGGGAAGGAGGGAGATGAACAGGGAAGGACTGGTGGGAGTCCTCGGTGCCGTCAACCACAGGCTGCTGTGCGAACTAAGCTTGTCATTAAACACGGCTGGATTTGCATCCATAACAGAAATGTCCTGTCATTCTTGGTTGGAAGGTAGGTCAGACGTGGCCACCGCCTCACCACCACGTGTGAAATCTTCTGTATCCTCCCTTCAGGGAAGGACTGGTGGGAGTCCTCGGTGCAGACAACCACAGGCTGCTGTGCGAGCTACGCTTGTCATTAAACAGGGCTGAATTTGCATCCATAACAGAAATGTCCTGTCGTTCTTGGCTGGAAGGTAGGTCAGACGTGGCCACCCCCCCCCAGTGACCCTCCCCACCACGTGTGAAATCTTCTGTATCCTTCCAGGGATTTTGTATTCAGACTGCGCGTTCCTCCCTTTTCAGGTCATGAAGCAGAACGGGTCGGAGATGCTTAGACACCTCAGGAATTAGTGAAAAGATGTAATATCTAAAGGAAAACCTGTAATTTCTGAAGGAAGATATCTAGAAACATCAATAAGACCTGTGTTGTGATGAAATGTATTAAACAAAGTACCTCTCAAAGAAAGAAATAGAAAGCTTTGAAACAAAACTACAAATATGTTCTCTTTAATGTTCTAAGAATTCAACTCTGTATATATTAGAAAGTTTTTACCTCCTCAGTCTCAAAACTTTGACTATTCCATTTATACATATATTCTCTGCCTGTTTAATAAAATCTTTATTCTGTTTTGGAAAGTTAGTAAAGGTAAAGGTTTCCCTTGCTCGAAAGCCAGTCGAGTCCGACTCTAGGGTCATCTCCGTTTCCAAGCCGAAGAGCCAGCGCTGTCCGAAGACGTTTCTGTGGTCATGTGACCGGCATGGCTAAACACCAAGGCGCACGGAATGCTGTTACCTTCCCACCGAAGTGGTACCTATTTATCTACTTGCAATTTCATGCTTTCGAACTGCTAGGTTGGCAGGAGCTGGAACTAGAGACAGGAGCTCACTCCATCATATGGCAACCCGGGTCTCGAACTGCCGAACGTTCCACAGCCTGCAGTTCAGCGTTTTAACCACTTGAGCCACCGCATTATTAGATTATTAGGAAGGGACTATTAGGAAGGGAACTGAAAACAAATCAGCCAGTATCATCATGCCCCTGTATAAATCGATGGTGCGACCTCATTTGGAGCACTGTGTACAGTTGTGGTCACCACACCTCAGAAAGGATATTATGGCTTTGGAAAAGGTGCACAAAAGGGCAACAAGAATGATAAAAGGGTTGGAACACTTTCCCTATGAGGAAAGGTTAAAGCGCTTAGGGCTCTTTAGCTTGGAGAAACGACGGCTGAGGGGTGACATGATTGAGGTTTACAAGATTATGCATGGGATAGAGCAGGTAGAGAAAGAGGTACTTTTCTCCCTTTCTCACAATACAAGAACTCGTGGGCACTCCATGAAATTGCTGAGCGGTCGGGTTAGAACGGATAAAAGGAAGTCCTTCTTCACCCAAAGAGTGATTAACACATGGAATTCACTGCCACAGGAAGTGGTGGCGGCTACAAGCATGGACGGCTTCAAAAGGGAATTAGATAAGCATATGGAGCAGAGGTCCATCAGTGGCTATTAGCCACAAGGTATAGATAGGGGCTCTGGGGCAGGTGATGCTCTGTCTTCTGGGTGCTTGGGGGGTGGTCAACAGTGGGAGGGCTCCTAGTGTCCTGGCCCCATTGGTGGACCTCCTGATGGCACCTGGTAGTTTCGGCCCCTGTGTGACACAGAGTGTTGGACTGGATGGGCCTTTGGCCTGATCCAACATTGGCTTCTCTTACGCTCTTATGTTCTTAGAGGCCTACTGCTCTGTATGTCCTTTTTCTGTCACATCGCCTCGCTGCCGAGTTTCCCTCCCTTCTCCCTTCCACTTATTTTGATTAATCGGTTTAATTCATTCCCCAGTGGGGACCTGAGGGAGCCTGTGTCATTCTCCTCTCCTCTATTTTATCTTCACAACAGCCCTGTGAGGTCGTTTGGGCTGAGGGAGTGTGATTGGCCCAGAGTCTCCCAGCAAGCTTTCTTGGCGTGAATGAGGATTTGAACCTGCCAGATACTAGTGCAGCACCAAGCTGGGGACCAGTGGAAGGAGAACTGAGCCCGCCCAGAGGGGTTATGTGTGTTTATGGGGGGGGGGTGTATGTGGAGAAATTCTCAACCTTCTTTGATAGATTTCCCCCTTCGTTCCTGAAAACAAGGTTTTGGGGAGCCCTGTAGGGAACCTGCCCCCACCTCATATTAATCTGCTCCCCTGGCCAGAAACCTCATGATGTGTGGGGGCACCAAGGTAGGGAGGAAATGGATAGCTTGAACTGAGCAGCTGGGCAGAGTGGGTGGGAAGTCAGTACAGTTTGGTGTAGTGGTTAAGACCGTGGACTCTACCCTGGGAGAGCCGGATTTGATTCCCCATTCCTCCACGTGCAGCTGCTGGGTGACCTTGGGCAAGCCACAGTTCTCTCAGAGCTTTTCCGTCAGGAGCAGTTCTCTCAGCCCCAACTACCTCACAGGGTGTCTGTCTGTTGTGGGGAGAGGAAGGGAAGGAGATTGTAAGTTGCTCTGAGACTCCAAGTGAAGGGTGGGGTGTAAATCCAATCTCCCCGCCATCCGCTGTGTCACTGTTCTAGTCTCCACTGACACGCAGGCACAACCACAGCCTCGCTTTGCACCATTTTGTTTTTTGTCCTGAAGTCACCGTCTGATTTTAAAACTTGGTTTGTTGCTGTGTTCATCTGTTTTTAACCAATTCACCTATGAAACGTTTTTTTAACTTGGCAGCCGCGCCTTGAGCCTTGCTGTGCAGGGGAGGGCAGGCTAAAAGTCCAATAAAATAAATGAATAATTTTAACAGTGTTGTTTTAATGCTGCTTTTAATTGTTTTGACGATGTGGTGTTTGGGAGCGGGGTTGATCTTAACGGTTTTAAAATGTGGTTTTCATCACATATGTTTTAAACTGTGAGCCACCTTGGTGGCACTTGTAAGGGCAGAAAGGCGGAATACACATTTTTGTAAATAATAATAATAATAATAATAATAATAATAATTTTCTATTTTTTTTACGTATTTAATTCACTTATACACCACCATTCTCCCCAAAGGGGACCCAAAGCTGCTTACGTCATTCTCCTGTCCTCCATTTTAGGTTAGGCTGAGAGAGTGTGACTGGCCCAAGGTCATTGGGGCTGAGAGAGCTCTTTCGAGGACGGCTCCTGAGAGAACAGCTCTGAGAACTTGTGACTGACCCAAGGTCACACCAGCAGCTGCAAGTGGAGGAGTGGGGAATCAAGCCCGGTTCTCCCAGATTAGAGTCCGCGCACTTAACCCCTGCACCAAACAGTCCAGGGGTGGGAACTTACTCAGCGTAAGAGCCACATAGAATAAATGTCAGATGTTTGAGAGCCGCAAGACATGAACAAATATTACACGCACATTTTTATTTAAAATATGCAAATTTGTTTTTTATTGACATTAGATGAGACTGCCAAAAATAAAAACAGAAGGGGGTAAAGACAGATATTGATAATGATATTTATTTCTCAAATGATATCTATTTCTTTGATAATGATATTTATTTGTCTAAGAGAGAGAGAGAGAGAGAAGGAGAGAGGTGGAAAGAAAGAATGAAAGAGGTGGAAAGAGAGAGAGAAACAAAGAAAGCAAATAGACAGGAGGGAGGGAGGGAGGGAGGGGAAAATATGCCTCCCCTTCGCTTCCCCAACTGCCCTGCCGGGAGCCGCACAATAGGCGTGAAAGAGCCACATGTGGCTCCCGATCCGCAGTTTGGCCGCCCCTGACACACACTGTTATTTCCTCCCCTTCAGATTTGAGACGGTGCAGCAAGAACTGAGCAAAGCCACTGCCCAGAACAAGGAGCTGCAGAGAGAGATGGAGCGCCTGCAGTCGGAGGTGACGCGGTTTAAGACGATGCAGCTGAAGGCGCTGAAGGACGCGGAGAAGCACAAGGAAGAGAGGGACTCCGTCTTCAGCGAGTATCGCCTCATCATGAGCGAGAGGGACCAAGTCATCAAGGAGGTGGACAAGCTGCAGACGGAGCTGGAGCTGGCGGAATCCAAGCTGAAAGACACGTCCTCGGAGAAGAGGGTGGCCAGCGAAGAAATGGAAGCCTTGAGACAGGTGTGGTATGAGGGAAAGGCAGCAAGGGGCAGGCTTGGGGATCTCCGGGTACGCGGACCAGGCAGGAGGTGACGCGAAAGACCTCTGTCTGAGACCCTGGAGAGCCACTGCCAGTCTGAGTGGACAGTGCTGACCTCCGACGGACCAAGGGTCCGGTTCAGTCTAAGGAAGCTCCGTGTGTGTGTGTGTTCATGGGCAACCTGTCATGGTACTTATGTTGCCCAGTATCATTAGTCCAAGCAGGGGTCATTTTGTAGAAAAAAAGGTGCAGGAGCTCATTAGCATAACTCATTAGCATAACTCATTTGCATATGTCACACCCCCTGACATCACCGGACGTGTGTCAGAAGGCAACACCCACCACTCAGGCTCCACTGGACTGTTTTGGATTGCTACCTGTTGGTGGGGATGGGGGACGTGCAGATCTGTCCTCGCAGAGGAGGGAGAGCTTGTACCTGAATAAAACTTGGTCTTAAAGGTGCCACTGGACTGTTTTGGGCCGGGGGCTA